CTGGCTATTTTTTGGTTGCAGCCGTCATTGTTGTTTGGCGGGTCCGGGCTGGGGATTTGAACCCGCCACCTTAGGTGTACATGGCTGGCACCTTAGCCGGTTGAGCTATAGGCACCAAGCCTATTTCTGTTAATTTTATAATGTTAAACTGTAATAATAACAAATAATTGTTGAGAAGTGATTACTGAGAACTGCTTATCAAAGTTTGCATTGTTGTCAGGCCCTGCCCTGTTGTGTCCCCTGCCCCCCCCATGTTGTCCTGCTTTACAAATGTTAAAATCTGATCACCGTAGTCTAAGGGGAACCATACATTAACTGCCAGGGGTCTCATCCAGGCAATTCTGCCACAGAGAACAACATCTGGGGACACTGGCTGTCGTTAAAGGGGACGGAGTACCCTGGCACAGAGTGGGTGAAGGCTAGGGACACTGTTCAGCACCTTGTGGCACCCAGGATGGGCCCATCCAGAGAATCATCTGGCCCCAAGCCCTACCTTCCACAGTGCTTGGGAGGAGCGGACCCACCAGTGTCTGTGCACAAGTTGGGTTGGGAAGGAGGCCAAGACCCTGTGCTATGAGGAGTATACCCAGTGTGGGGAGAGGCCAGGGTCTTGAATAGAGCCCCTCAGCATCTCTCTCTGGCTGCCCTAGACCCCCACCCTCTACCAAAGGCCACCTGTGTGCCCCCCTTGTGCAGGGCTCACCTTGTTGATGTCGATAGTTTCTAGGGCCAGCTGCCGGAGGCGTTCCCGCCGGTCCCGGTTGCTCTCAGAGGAGGAGGCCACGCCCCCACTGCCAGTCTTGCCCCCAGGCCGATGTTGGAAGTCCATGGTGCTGGCTTTGGGGCTTCAGTAGACTGTTGTGATACCTGGAGAACAAAAACAATGATTATGATGACTCAGGGTATGGTGGGTACACTGGGACATTCTCTGGGCTGTGGGTATGACCAGCCCTCACCTTGCATGGCCACTACCTAGAATCGCCACCCCCTAGTCCAGGAGGCCAGGGGCCTCTGTGGGTCAGGCACAGAAACAGGAAACTGGAACCTGTCTTGAGAGGCTCCTGATATGGGTCCTAAAAGATTACAGGCATGTCTCCAAGTGACCGTGGGGGAGGGTGATGGTGAGGTCACAGCCCAGAATGAAATGGTAACTTGGAGCCCAGAGAAGGCTCAATCAGAGAAGACAGAGGCCAAGTTCTCACAAACAAGTTACCATCTCCAAGAAGCCTTCCCTGATTGGCACAGCCTATAGTGTTCACTCCTTCCTCCCAATTCCCTTTCTAGATGGCTGCACTTACTCATCCTAATTTAGATTCTATTTCTTGGGCTCAGCTGTAAACTGGTTGCAGGTTAGGAAGACATCTATTTTTGGCTCCTCACTGCTTAATGATGCACAGGTGCAAGGATGGGCAGATGACCACACCAAGAACCACCAATCTATATTGATGTCCTTATTTCCTGCCTTATTTTAGTGACATTTCCAGAACATTCTATCTAATGGCTGAGAAGACCTGGAACAGGTCTCAGAAGAAATGAAGAAAAATGTTAATGAAGCCAAGAATTAAAATCTATCTGGGAAAGAGTCCAGTTGCTTCTTAAATGGCCAAATTCTTAAGTGGCTAGTGCTTGGCTTGGGAACCTGAACCTGGGGAGGGGGTAGTACAGAAAGCTTCTGCTGAAATAACTGACTGGCTTAGGGAAACCCAAAAAGACACATAGCTACTTACCAACTAAAACTTCTTCAATTCTAATCCAAGGGAAAACGAGAAATTATCCACAACAGAGGGCACATAGACCACTGAACACCTGTGCTGTCCCCACACCAGCAGAAAGAGGCCACACCCTGAGGAAGGTCATCTTTTCCCAACACCTCCAACCCCCCACACCCGGAGGAAGGTTATCTTCTCCCAACACCTCCAACCTCAAGATAGATTTTATTCTTAGAAGAAGTGAAATAAAAGGGCCTCTAGGTGTAGAAAGCCAGGCACAGTGGAGCAAGGGGGCCTGGGGTCAAGCTGTAACTCGAAGATTAAACCAAGGCCCAGGGACTAAGCCATGGATAGGGCCATCCCCTCCTCCACATACTCCACAAAAAGTAGGCTCATCTGATGCCCCCAGCCAAGGAGATCAGGAGTCCTTTCTGTGGAAATAGCCCAAAGGAAGAATTCTCAAATATTGATACATGGGGTTCCCCACAACCCAAGAAAACTCCTGCTTTTTGTCAGGCTGCTCAGCAGCTGACACTCACTAGATAAGAAGCACCACTTACACATAAGAACTGTCTACTACTTTTTTTTTTTTTT